CGCTAGCTTGGTGCTGGATTTCTATTCGATTAATTGTGATTCAACCGACTTGTGCTATTCGGGTTCCAAGAAATATATTTTCAATCAAGAAAATCTGACAAAATTCCTACAAGAAACCTTGCCTTAAAATTTAAAACAGAAAAAAAAAATCTCTATAAAATTACGAGACTTCTACTACTATGACTTATGATGCATTAGTGAACAACTAAAAAACATCAAAATACAAAAAAAGATTATAGCTATGTTAATATATGTTATTGTTTCTAAAACAATTTTTATCACTTAAATAATCAAAATGTTGACATTAAATAAATCATGATTATTAGAGAAATACTTTTTGTAGCAAAGACGAACAAAAAGAGCATTTTATTATTTTATTTTATTTCTCCTTTTCTCGAATGACAATACAAAACAAAACAAATTTGTTAGATAAATTTCCAAAAAAAAAAATATATATATATACGCGACATTGTAGAGGCAGACGCACTCATCGAGTTGACTAAATTCGATTTATATATGAAAATAAAATGTTATTGCAGCAATTTGATTAAATTAGAGAGTTTTTTAAACTCAGGCGATGCAAAATAATTTTTTAAAAGGTTGTTGTACTTTAGTCCTGTGTGATGGCCATTTGACTTTGTGTCTGAGATAATGCCGACTTTAAATTGAATTTTGTGAATCGACAAAAAGAAGAGAATTTAATGATAGGAAGTTATGACGAGCGACAAAGAGAGGAAATTAATGTCGTAAAGTTTTAAGAGAGTTGAGAATTCTTGGAAATTTGAATATGATAAATTTGGGATATGAGTTGATGTAGCTCTGTCATGCGAAAATATTAGTTCTGATCTGACTATGAGTTGAAGGCAGTATGGAGCACGCTGAACTTGGTAAACTTTAACCAGGTTATTATTCATTACCACGTTTTTCTTAATTTTATATTGTAAATAACCTTCAAATTCTTTAAGGATGTAAGGTTGTACGCATCGTACTTATCCTTGTTATATCGACAACAATCTATAATAATGAATGAGAGATAAGTCTCTGGTTGGGAATCGAACCCACATTTTCATAAATGAGGGTTACAGATATCAGGTCAAATGCATAACCACTCGCGCTACAGAAACCTAACCCTCACACTGGCAGATTCGCACATATAAAGCTTTATACCCCAGATTCCGTTCTGCTCCAACATCAGAAAGTGAAAGCCATTAAAGTCGTCACCAAATTGTAATGACATCAAGAAAGAGAAGAAAAAACTGCGACTTAGAATGTTGTTGTTTATTTCTTTTTTTTTTGAAGGCATCTATGTACAATGTTAAGTTCATTAATTAGGCCACGCATTTGACACACATTTGTGATTTGATGAATGAAAACAATATTTTTGAGATTTTATGGTTAGGCAGTTCTATTAATTCTATTAATTCTCTCTGGGATTAAAAAACAGTAGCTCTTATAATAAGTGTGTGATGCAAAAAGAATCATTTTTGACGCATTTAAGGAGTCTTCTTAATTGAATGAGTTGTTGCGGTAAATTAAATTCAGGAAATAAATGTGAAGAGATTTTGATTGTCTCAAGAAAGTTTAATTTGCGTTAAATGAACAAGAGTGTAGCCAGGAATTTGAAGAGGGGGGACAGAAAAATTTTATATGCAATTTAAAAGATTTTTTCATAAAAACCATAGAAAAATAAATTTCAAAATAGATATGTCCACCAAATCCTTCCCCTCCCCCTCTGGCTACGCGCCAAGCTAGCGATCTCTATTAATGAAGGATAAAAGTTCGATTCCCATTCAAACCAATCCCATTTGACGTTTTAGTTTCTTAAATTTCCAAAGTTAAGCTAGTAAAAGCGGATTAGAATTTTAACTCGTGGAGTAACTTATGAACAATGAACAAAACAATTCAAAAGCCTCAAAAGATCTCTAAACAGTCAGTTACACCCAAATATTAGTGATTTATAGACGCAAATCTCTCTCTCAAATGTTCAATTTACTCCACGTACTCTCAAAAAAAAAATCCTGAAATCGCATAACATCGTAGTAATAAATCACAATAGCTCACACGTGTGATGTAGTAAGAGTAACAACTCATCACATTATTACATAAAAATAAATTTTACATTAGGAAAAAGAATGCACAATGAATCGCACTATAATGAAAATAAAAAATAATAAACCAGTTTATTGTGCTATTCATATAACACAATATTATCTGCGTTCAGTAAGCTGTTTTCCATACAAAAATCCACGCGACAAAAGCATGACTCGACTTCATTCACAAAAAAAAATATATTATTTTTTTTTCTCATTTTATTTTTCAGCAGACAGATTTTCTTGTTTTACATTCTGAGTCATTTTTATTATTATTATTTTTTCATTTTGATTACGAACAAGGTCGTTGAAGTGCAAATTTTAGGTTCATATGTTGGTCAACAAGTTTCACCTTAACGTGTGGATGAAGTGCACATTTTTACGATTCTTGGCATGATAAAGAATAAACAAAGTCATTTGAAAATGAAATTTTAACAAGTCAACAACTAGAAAGCATTAAAAACGACGCAAAAAAGGTCAATACACGAATCGAAAAATTTCGGGAGAAAAATTTGCGTCATGAGCTTCATCTTCCGGATTTTTATTGACATTAGAGTTATTTTTTGGGCGTTTTTAACCTTTTGACATTTTTTGAAATGTGGTGTTAAGCAACATGCATGACTTGTGTTTTATGGATGGTGATTTTTATAGAAAAATATAAATAAACAACAATAACTCCCCCTCCTTAAAATAGACAGACGTTATCAGTAATGTGCTAATTTTAGTTCTCTTGGCTGTGGATGAAATCTTTCAGGGGGTGAATACCTCTAAAGTTAGATTTGATCGGAAGCTTATTTTAAATTTCTAAACTTAGAAAATAGTTTCAAATCAAAAACTTGAAAGTAACTAAACTGACTGCTTATTTTCCTGGGACCCATTGATGACCCACCGTAAAAGCTATGCCCTATCTATGCCCCAATTAAGCCCCAGCTAAGCCCCAATTAAGCTCCAGCTAAGCCCCAGCTAAGCCTCAGCTAAGCCCCAGCTAAGCCCCAGCTAAGCTCAAGCTAAGTCCCAGCTAAGCCCCATCTATGCTTCAGCTAAGCCCCAGCTTATCCCCAGCTAAGCCCTAGCTAAGCCCCAGCTTAGCCCCAGCTAAGCCCCAGCCAAGCCTCAGCTAAGCCCCAGCAAAGCCCAAGCTAAGCCCCAGCTAAGCACGAGCTATAAAGCTATAAATAGACAATTTAAGAATACATTTTTAACTCATCAACCCCTTTCAAGTCACCATCCCTCCCGAAAAGTAAATGTTCTGGCAGTCGAGAATCAAACAGAACAAAATAAATTCATTCTCTCTGCATTGACTTCTTTATATTCTTCATTTATTTCTGTTCACTCTCGTTATCTTCTCGGATTATCAGTTGTTTGCCTGTTTACACCAAAAAAATGAAAATGCCACATAAACTTCACTGCGTTAATATTGATCATCCAGTCCACACATTATTTGCCATTTAGTGTGATTTGATTATTCATCGAGGACTCTCATCATAAATGTTGATGGAAATAAATTTAAAATTTAATCAAAAAATTATTGCAAAATTAAAGTGCAAAAAAACGTTTACAAAGTGCGATTTAAAGACGGAAGAAAGAATAAGACAATAAAAAGAAAACAGTGTAAATCATATGTGCTGTATTATAAAATAAAATAGCATACAATAAACGGAAGAAGATACAAGTTTAAAATAGAAAATAAAATTCTGTGATTTAAATTGTAAGTGTAGGTGCAGTTTAACATATTTCTTTCCTCCTCCTATTTATGAGGTACAGTCATGATAAAAAATAATACAACAGATAACTGTGACTATGTAAAAAAGGAAGAAAAAGATGAATTTACTGTCAATTTCAATTGTTATTTCTTCTTACCTGAATCATTTCTCTCTGTGTACTTAGTAAAAAGCAAAGTTGTAGAGTTGAGTGATGTAAAGTGACCTGAGTGCATTATATTTTGCATTATTCTGATCAGGAAATTCTTTTGTTTGTAGCAATTTAAAAAAAAAATCTGATTTTTGGTACCTGATCACAAATAAATGTCTCGGGTATTCTCTGATTTGTTCTTTCCTTAATTTATTGTTTTTTAAAATAATTGAATTTGATTTTTGCCAGTCAAATTTAACAAGTCATTAAAGCTTGGTGTGGAATATGGCTTTACCTGGAACTGTAAAAAATCAATTCAGGGTTCCATTCTTTTTTTTATGGTTTTAAAAAAAAACATTCAAGGACAAATTGAGCAGAAACTATCTCAAAACTTGTCAAATCAAGCCATTTGTTTAAGAATTGCACCTTAAAATAATTAAATTATATGTTAAACAAGTGTATCAGCTAGATTGTAAACGAATCAGCTATAATAACCAACTGATTGATGTAGTTCTATGAATTGTCTCGCAGTTTTGAAATCTCCAACTCCAAAAAACCTTTTATTCTTGAAATTAACCTTAAAAATATTCTCCAAAACTCAACAAACCTTTTGAATATTCAAAATTATCTGATGAATTCCTCACCTTTTCACTCAAATATCTCAATTGCAATCTGACTCATCATCCCTAAATTAAATAATTTAACAAACAAGACAAAAAAACAATCATCATGCTCGAGAAAGTCGCGACATAGTTGTTAAATCACACGACAATCATCACTTTATCTAATTTTCTCTCAATAAAGCGCATTTGTAAACACAACTGGAAATTACTAGATAAAATTCAATTAAAATTCTCGCTGCACGTGCAAAATAAATATAATTTTTTTTTGAAATTCTAGATGGGTCAAAAGATGCACAAACAAGTTGTTTTCTACTTAGTTCGAGACGAATAAATATGTTTAAATTCTATTTCCGTGTCTCCAGAAAAAAAACCTAGTCACTCTTGGACTTTGGAATTGTCGATCTGACGTAATGAAAAATGCGAAAAATCATGAAAAACTTTTACACGTAATCACCATCAAAATGCATGATTATGAAATTTCTTAATAACTTGTTGAAGTGTTTTTCATGTAACACATTGGATTTCCCCAAATAAGAAGAAGTAATGAGATTATCACTCCACAGTATGGCTTCAAATAAAATTCACAACAGTCTTGATTGTGAAGCTTAGTGATAAAGTTGTTGATGTGAGACTGATACTTGCCATTTTTTTTGGTTAATAAGTGAATTGTTTAAGTCGTGTTGAGCATTTTGACTGAAGGTTGAATTAGGTATGGAAGAAATCAATGAGTTTAGTTTAAAATTAAAATATCAGTTCAGACAAACTGTCTCAAGCCTTCCAAAATCTCAAGCTAAGGATGAAGATTTATAGCTGCATTCAACTAGTTACTGGAAGAGATAAAAACAATAGTTTTCATACTTTTTTGTTTCATTTTCCTTTTAAATTCTAGTCCTGTAGCTTTAAATTTGTAAACAAAACTAAAACAGAATAGAAAAAAAACCCAAGAAAGACTTTTTAGCCATCACATGCCATAAAGTTCAAAATCATGCAAAAAAAGAAGAACAAAATGTAAAACTAGCTCAGCATGACAAAAGTTTATTACAGGAAATACTCGATGCACAATTCTTTTCATTCGATTTATGTATGATCATTTAAAACTGCGATTTAAACATGAAATAAAATTAAACACGTGGGTACTAGTGCAGTTATGAAAAAACCCTCGGAGCATTCTCAAATGTCTTCGGATAAGTTGAAATGAAATAAAAAAAAATTTAATGTGATTTTTTTAAGTCAAATTTCGGCCTCAAAGGCACACATGTACACACTTTCATAAACTTCTCTTCATTTATTTTCTTTTATTTTTAATTTAAAGAAACATGACTTGAGAGAATGCGTGGGAATTTTCGCACACACCGAGGAATTGAAAATATATGTTCATATATGAGAATGAATATGGGCTATTCAGCACTTCTTTTTTAGCGTGGCTTATTTTGTTGAGATTTTATTTTATGGAGTGTGATTTTTTTTTTTTGATAACTGGCTGACTTAGTTTTATGGATAATGATTGAAACTTTGGATAATTTGTGCTGAATTGTCAATATTAAATTGTTTGACCTTTTGTTTGAATTAATTTGGGTATTCTTTAGGAATATTAAGAATTCGTTCACTTATTACTTCCACTTTTTTGAGGGGAGGATGGGGGGGGGGGGGGTGGCGTCTTGGATTTTGCAACAAATGAACGAGCCTTATTGCGTCATTCTTTTAAGATTTTAATCATTTTATAAAGTCGGAGCTTAATTTTAGTCATAGAGCAGTGCTGTCCAACCTTTTTTGTGCCACGGCACACCTTGTAGCCAACACTGTCATAGAGCACTGTCATGTTTATAACTCTAAAGTCCCTCAATTGATTTAAGCATTTTCAACCCCTTAAGTCCTTTAAAATGTTTATCCAAATCAAAAAACTCTAGAAAAATCCACAAAATATCAGAAAAATCCAACCCGGAAATGCGTTTCTCATTGCAACAATCAACAATCACATCACAATCATCCAAACTTGTAAATAATATTTTTTTGGATTAAAAGACGGCCTCAAGGAGTTTCTTATTTTATTTCATTTATTTCTCATTTCTTTCAAATCTGTGAACTCGACACATGTCTTTGTATTTGTCATACAGACACATATGTACATTATAGGGACCCCTCATCGTGCACTCTTTATCTCTCACACTCTCTAAAACTTCACATAATATTTTTATTTATTTTTTTTTTGTTTTTGGAAAACGAATAAGAAATAAAAAGAAGAATAAAAATAAAGAAGAGAAAAAAATATAGAGTCATAGTGTGAAACATATGAACGAACTAACTTCATAAACGACCAGTTGCAATAAAGTAGTGAACGATTCAACATCGACCGTTTTAGACTCTCGGTGAATAAAATAAATAAATAAATATATCACTTAAAGATTCTAAACGGGACATTAAAAATCATTCAGAACAACTACTTTATTATAATTCTAGTTCAAATAATAGTTTTTTTAAGAAAATATTTTTTAAGTGAAAACAAAAAACAAAAAAAAAAATTATTCAAACAAAAACGCCAATTTTGAATGTGCACCCTGAAATTTACGCTCATTGATCGTCACTGCAACTCACCATCACTGGCTGAACTCGCAATCCGCAACTGGCTCAAACTCATTCAAGGAAAACGATTAGACATTAAAAGTGATAAAACCGATAACTTAGGCTGTTAAAAAAAAGGTATTAAAGATCGTGACTGTGGATGGGATTTATTGCTTATTTTATTTTTACTTGTTTTGAAACTTTTTGGATCCTCTTTTAGCAGTTTTTTTTGGTGAGATTTGAGTGATAAGGTGGGGATATTTTGACTTGGAGGCTGTTTTGAAGCCTTTTTGATGTGGTTTTGTAAAAAAATAATTTTTTGAGGCAGGTTGACTCTAAGCCGGGTTGACATACTTGTCTATATGATTTGAGATTGGATGAGAAATTCATAAAAGTTCTTGTCTAAGATAGATTCATTTATGACGTCCAGAGGAGAAGGTCAGCAATAGAGTTTTCTAGAAATCCATTGTTCTTTTTTGAGAAATGTCCGTTTATTTTGGACGTCATTAGTGAACGATCCCTAAAGAGGAATGGACATTTCTAGCTCCTATCCTTCAGGGCAATCAGGGGCGTACCCAGGAGGGTCTTATCCCCCTCTTAAGCGTTTTAGACCGTGCTCTCGCTGTGGTTCAAAACATTTAAGGGGGGACAAGACCCTCCTGGCTACGCGCCTGAGGCCAATGCTTGATACCAGAGCTTGAATTCGATGAAATTTGGAATGGATTCGAGTCGACTCTAAGTCGACTCTTCCATTCAAAATCGATGAAAATCTCAAGTCGACTTCAAGCTCTGCTTAAAACCTATCAAAGCTTTTCATAATATTTCCAAATGACACTGAAAACGAGATCATAAACATGTCTGGTGCATCGTAGATTCAAATTGTTTAGGAACAATTCATTCTGTTTATGAAATCTATTTTTATCAACATCAAGCCCTCATACATGACTTTCAATTTCACTAATCCAATTGCATTATCTAAAAAAGCTAAATTTAGATTTCAATTGAGAAATTGATTGACATCTTAACTGATTGTAATATTGGATAAACGATTTACTTCCGGATTTAATGGCTAAATTGTTGTTTTTTTTCGTATTAATTCATTTGGTAAAGAATCAGTTATTTATGATGGTTAACATATAAGGGCGGATGAAGCTTGATAAGAACTTTTTGACAATGTGGGTTATTTAAATAAATGATAATTTCAACTCTTTAATCAATAGTAAATAGTTAAATTAATTTTCATTTGAATTTCATAAGATTGCATCAAAATTTCATCAAGATTGAAGTTGTTTCAATAATTTAAGTACAGTAGTTGGAAGTTGTATTATTTCATGTATTATTTCTGAAACATCACCAGTTCATGTTCAGATGCTTACTCAATGATTTCAAGACCAAAAATAATTTGCAATCAATTTTTAATTAAATTTTCCATAATATGCGCTCATGACACCCACCTCCAACCTATAAAATGACATTTTTTTTGCCATCATTATTATTTTTCTATCAATAATATCAAACACAGTCGATTGACTGCATACACCAAAGATCCCACATGCTACCATTGATTTTATGAGGGTCTAAAGGTCATAAATTCTGAAATTGTCTTCTTCGATCACAAATTGTAAAGATAGATTTATAAATAAATAAATTTTCTATTGTATAGCTAGTATTTTTTGGATGAGACAAGAGCACAGGAATTGAGACACAATCGAGCGAAGTGAGAGCATAAGATGAAGTTTTATTATCAAAACAAATGATGCAATCAATGGAATCATCATAAAAGATGATGATGATACTCTACGAGATGCTCTATAATGTATCTAATAAATTGTGTACATTTTCGCATGAAATGAGATTAGAGCGCGTAAAAAAAACTTCTTTCATTAATGCCTTTAAAATACAATCAATGATGATTCCTTCAAGTGCAAGTAAACTTTGTGTGTGACAATCATCACATATTCTCTCTTTTCTCAATTTAGCGACAATGTTTAGTAAATTGTGCTCGCAGTACACATAAATTTTAGATCTGATCAGCTTGTACTTTCATCTACATTGTAAAATCAAAATTTTGACGCCATCCCAATCCATCATTTAATTAAAATTCATTAAATTGATTTTCCTCACTCACTCGATCTTGTTTATGTCTATTATTGACTTTAAATGATGTTCTCAATGCTTTCATTTAATTTTCCAATTTTTCTTACTTTATAAAAATGATTTTCAATTCTTGTCTCGTATTGCTCAATTTGTTTATTGAATCAAGATTTTTTTTATTGTGTGATTTGAACTTTTTAATTTGATTAGATTTTTTTTTCTTCGTGGAGAAATCGATGTCAGTCTGGGATGGAATTTAAAAAATTTAAATTGTAGACTTTGGAGCAACATGTGATTTTTTTGCTGTATACGTTTTGGGCAGAGCGGGAATTAAGGGATTGAAGGATTGGGGGGGTTAAAAGTCTCCGAATGGCACACGTCGGTTAATGGATCAGAAATCTCAGATTTGTGTGATTTGTGATTTCAAATCTGGCAACAAGTTGACATGACTTTAGCATGGTGCTTGTTCGATCAAGGGTCAGACACTCCAAAGTATTGTACGGTATTGTACAATACTTACAATACTTACAATACTTTCCATACAAGTATTGTAGTATTGTACAATACTTACAATACTTACAATACTTGCCATATAAGTATTGTAAGTATTGTAAGTATTGTACAATACTTACAATACTTTTCATATAAATTTACAATACTTTACAATACTTACAATACTGAAATTTAATTATTCAAGTACCAAATTTTAAAAGAAATTAAATATTTTTTGAGTTTTCAACAATTTGTAAAACCAAATTTAATACTTTTTTTGACAAATATTGATAAATAACAATTTTTTTGATAAATTAACATTATTATTGAAAATTAGCAGGGGTATTTTATGAAAAACTAGCACAAATTTCAGTTTTCCATTAAAAAAGAGAATTTCTGATTATGTAATGGCTATAAAAATGGTAAAAAGTTCAAAATTCTTTTGTAAAGCTTGACTGATGCAAATCAAGAATTGATTTCATACAATTCTCATGCATAAAACCGTACAGGTACGAAGTTTATTATGTAAACTAATATTAAATGTCAATCAAGATATATAGATGAGCTCATACCAAGTATACTTGACCATACTCGACCATACTATTTTTTGTTTACTAATACAAACAAAAAAATTTTAAATTTTAAATTTAAAGTTTTCATTTAAATACTGATAAATGCATAACTATTCGACTTTAGTCAGTTACTTTAATTAATAGTAAAGCATTTGCAATATTCCTGTACCAACAAAACAAAACAGAAAGTTGAAAATTTTGCAAAACAAATATTGAAAATTTTCTTTCATAGTGTTAATGTTTACAGAAAATTCAAAATTTTGTCCGTTAAAAACAGTGATATTTTTGTATGAGCTCATCTATATATCTTGATGTCAATAAGGAATCAAAATTAAATAGATTGGTTTCATTTTCACAAGATTTACCACCCTTTATAGAAAACTGCATTACGTTTTATACAAATTTTTTGATCAAAGTATAAGGTTTTAAGTGTATTCAAACATTACTTTGACGATTTGAATTTTTTTACCGCTGACAAGAAGGCGATTAAGAAGGAATCAAATTTAACAAACTTATCAAATGGTTTTTATAGATTTTTTTTTTGAAAATACATATTTTCAACAACTGCATCTCTAAGACATTTAAAAGTGTATATTTTCTTCTACAAAGTAAACTTTAAAGAAACAAACTTAAATCGAGGCATAGCAATGTTATGATATGACTTAAAGCGCTATAAAAAAAAACTAAACCTCTGTGTTACCTCTATAAAACTGAAGCAAACGTTAAAGTTCCTCTAATATGAGGAGACTAATGTCTAATATTCTCATCTTATCTATGTTTTCGTTAATAATGTTTGATATTTTTGGCTGCATCTGGCGTTATATCGCCCTTGTTTCGAGCCAGAATACTTTTTTTGCTATTGAAAATTTTGAAAAATGACTTTATTACCAAAAATTTTGTTTACAAATATTTTTACAATATTTGTATATGTTTTAGACTGAATATTTTTGAAGAACTATAAAATTTTAATTAAAACTTAAAAATATTTAGTTCAAAATTGCTAATTATGTATTTTCATCAAATTTTGGTTCAAAAAATGTAAAGAAACACGAAAAACTACTTAAAAACCGTCAATTATAATCAAATTCATATGACAAATGTTTCTCAAACTGTCTTGTAAAAACTACAATACTTACAATACTTTCCATACAAGTATTGTAAGAATTGTAAGTATTGTACAATCCTACAATACTTGTCATACAAGTATTGTAAGTATTGTAGGTATTGTACAATACTTACAATACTTTCATATGTATTGTAAAGTATTGTACAATACATTACAATACTTTTGGAGTGTCTGACCCTTGTGTTCGATTTAAATCCAGCACCTTGCCAGAGTCAAACCAGCTTGGTGCTGGATTTCCGATCGATTAAATGAATTGTTCCATTCGTGGTCATGTTTGGAAGAGTGATGCCTTTTTCTAGTTAATATTATTTCAATTAACCTTTTGAAGCTCTTAAGCTGTATCTAGAAACCAGTTTCTAGAGCTATCCGGGCACCTTTTCTAGGGCAAAAATTAAATTCGATGTACTGAAATATAAGATATATATAAATTAATCTGAGACTAGTGTACGGAGCTCCGGGTAGCCTTAGAATCCGGCCCAAAATTGTCAGTTGCTCCGATATCACACCACAAAATTATTTCACTACATTTATTTTTATTCAATCGAAAGTGACCTTTCAATTATTTTTTGGTAAAATCCAGAATTTTTTTTATCACGTCAATTTTAAAATGTAATTTCTAAATCTACACTGTTTTGGACTAGAAAATACAGAACAAACCAGAATGACATTTTAGTATTAATTGACCTATCATAAATCACAAATCATGATGCAATTATAAGTCAGAATCAGTTTTAAAAATAAATAGTTTTAAGAAACTAAAGTTGACTTTTCGTTTGTTCGTTTGTCAGTTTTGAACTTTGATTGACATATTGAAATATTTTTAAAAATAGTTGAAGCATGAATTAATTCAGTTTAAACTAGATCTCGTTAAGAATGTCTTTAAATAATTCAAATAATTCTTCTTACCATGAACTTTTAACATTGCTTAATCATAAATAATAAGACATAGACTTTAAGGGGTACTTGAATATTCTGGGCAGTGTTAGCCAAATTTTTCGAACAAGATTTGCTTCTGGTAGGGTTTTTAACACCTTGTATCATTTGATTATAACCAGCTGATCTCCTAAAACCTATAAAACATTTGAAAAATCACAAGAAGCATTCACGCACCCACAACAAATCCGTTCCTCAACTGAACAAAAACAAAATCTCACAAAGAGAATAAAATTCCGAGCAATTCATCATCATAAAAACATAATCAGAGATGATGAAGTTTTATGAACTCAATGTTTTGATTTAATGATATGGAACATCTCAGTCTTAATTTGCCGATAAAACTTTTGAGTCATTGTATGTCTACAACTGTCTACAATGTTGCAAAATGAGAAAATTGGGTCATTTAAAGGTTGATGTTTGTCATTTTATGGAGTATACCTTCAGCCTGACTTTGTGAGGTTGTCAAAATATCCAAATTTCTAGCAACATCATTTACGATCATCCCTAAAATGCATTTATGACTTCAATGTTTATATTCTCTGAGTACATTTCCGATAAAATAATTATGCTGAGTGAGTCAATCGAGAGAGGAACAGACATGAGAGATTTTTGACCCTTTTGTAAATGAAAACAATAAAAATTAATTTTTTTATCAGTTACAAATATTTTTAGAATTCTGTTGTTATCAATGTTTATTTTTGGAGTAAATCTATTTATGCTTCAACGGATTGTATTACATTTTAGTGCTGGTCAACATCTCGTGTTCCTTATCAATATGTAGTTTTTAAAAAATAACAATAACAACTTGTTGGGATTGATTAATCTTTTCAAAAATAGACATCTAGTGGGGGGGATTGCAAGAAAGAGATAAGATGATTTGATTTTCCCTTTTTTTGAAAATGATGAAATTACCAAATAGATAATACACAGTATTATATATAGTAATAACATTGTTCCAACATTCAATGTGGCTAGAGAATCAATAATAGTTTGAATTTAAAAGAAGACAGTCAGATTTTTTTTGTTTAAAATTCAGTCAATGGTAGTTTATATAAGCTTATAATATAATTCTAAGGTAACATTAATGATGGTAGAGTCTAGCCAGCTTAAACTTATCCAAAGGATCTGGTCATAAATAGTCAAACTAGAAATTATTAGAATTTAAGCCTAATAACTAGTCAGTAGACCGGGAACTTGCAGTATTTTTCATTGTGAGATCAAGTGTTCAATTCCCAGCATATCCTGATATCTCAATCATTATTTATCCAGGATACAGAACCTACCGACACCTCTTCAATAAAAAGCAGGGTCAAAGTCAGGAGTTGAAGAACTTTTTCATAAAAACCCTAGCAAAATTAAGAAATTCCTATTGAAGTAGAGGAATTTGTCCCTCAAATCCCCCCTGACTTCGTGCCTCCTACAGAATAACAAATCCTTCAAAACTAAGTTGTTATCCAACATTATCCCAATTAATTAAAAGTTAAAAAGTGCCGATCTAATTTATAATTACCGATACATCCACGTGCTGACTTTGTTGCCATGAAGAATATTTTTAACCTTGTGGATATAAGCTAATTAAAAATATTCTAAAAATACCTTCTTTATAAAATATTGTTCACGAATTCTGATTCTTCCAGATTATTCAGCAAAAAAAAGGATTTGTGAGCATATTAAAAATAATAAAAATGTAAATTGATACTCACAGTGGCCAAAACTGCATAATAATCAATTTAGTTTGACTTTCTGTTTCTGTTTTAAATGTTTGATAATTTATTTCCTATAAAAACCACAAATAATGTTGAAAACTTTACATCCACAATACTAACCATACAACAAATAATTCTTATCATTTTAGATGCATATTCATCACAAATCAAACCAATTCTCAAATAGTATTAAAGTACTATTGTTATTATTAATTACTTATATATCATGGTGCAATGCAGTTTCGGAAGAGGAGGTGAAAGAGGCTTTAAGGTTGGTAGATGAAGAGCGCAACAATCCTGCTAGATACTGTGGAAGACGATTAAATCATGTGATGAAATTTGTGTGTAAACGTGAAGTAAGAGGTATGATTGGCCCACAATACGAAAAGAAGTCATGTAAGTTTTTTAAAATTGATGTGGCTTTTAAATAATTGTGCTGGATATTTATGTGCTTTACCATAACCAACTGTGGTGTCGGAGCAGAGTGGAATCGAGTCATATACGCGAATTTGCATGTGCGAGAGTTATGCCTCTGTGGTTAGGCACCAGAACGGATATCTGGAGTCCTCTTTTGTGAGGACGTGGGTTTGATTCCCACCAAAGACTCAATCTCTCAATTATTATATAGATTGTTGTCGATATAACAAGGATTCCCATATTGCTCATGACATTCCACAAACCAGAAACAACTTTTACTAACATTTTAAATACCTTTCCATTTCAGTGGATCCAACAAAGGATTTGGATCTCTCTGTATTTTATAATGATCGAGTAGACAATTATGAAGAAGATGATTCAAACAAAAATCGCTTCAAAGGAAACGAATTTGATGACTTATTGCCATTTAATGACCTCGCATTATCACGTTTTCAAGCCAGAAATCGCCAACGTCGTGGCATCATCGATGAATGTTGCAGAAATCCATGTTCTTGGTCGAACCTTGTTAAATACTGTCCAACAATGGGTTAAATTCATACAACGTCTAATGCATACAAATATTTATAATTGGCCTTTATCACAACACAAAAAATTACCAATGCCTTGCTATAAAAATTATTTTGGACCATTCTCAAATTAAATTATGATATTTGATGTTAAGCATAGCCAGCAAACACTTGTTTTTTGCTCACAAAAAGTATTCTCAACGAAAAAAAAAAAAACTAGAATAATGTTTATTAATTATATTTACTATTCCTCTGTATGGTTAAAGATTCCTCTTATTATTATTTCTATAATCTTTATTTCTAAATGCTTATCTAATAATCTTAGTTAATTTATATATTTTTCAATCCATAACTCAGGGACTTTTTTTGGAAAGAATTTTTTTTTGTAATTGAAGCGAGGATTTTTGAAGTTATTCAAATTTTTAATATTTTGAAAAAAAAATCAAAGTTGTTTAAAAATTGGAAAATTTTAAAAGAAGTTTAAATATTTTAAGAAATTAGTTTAAATTTTAAAATTAAGAAATTGAAAGTTTAAAGAATTTTTATTTTAATTTTTTTAAATAAGTTGAACAGCTTGAAACTCCTCACTTCAGATGAAAGTACCTGAGTGACTTTTTTTCTCTTTCCTTCTTAGTTAATTATTAAAATTATTAATATACATACTTCAAAATTGATTGAGTTATCAATCGCACACGCTCAATTATGTTTTGTAAGAATTGAAGATTTTAAGACTGGATTGCAGACAATTGAGATTATTAGTTTTTATTGAAATCACTAACAGATAAGTGTGCAAATTATTTGACATCCAGAAAATCAATCAGACAATTTTTTAAGCATAAAATTAAATTCTCAAATTTATTGAATAATTCTTGTAAGAAGTTCACATTCACTTCATTTTGCATACCATTAATTTATCACGCAAGATTTTTTTCATAGCTTAATTACTCATTAAAAGCTTAAAATCATTAAAATGCTAGTGGAAGGTTTAGTCATTGCAACTTAACAGTTATTTGTGTGTTCAATTTTAATTCCATTAACCTTACTTAAGGCATCATGAAATTGGGGATATAAAAAATAAAACCAGTTCAAAGATGAAGTTGAAAGGTCAAGGAACATCCAAAATAATTCACACAAATGAGAAAACTTCAAGCTTTTTTTAATTTATTCATCAATTAGTATTTCGTTGGCATTTGCTGAACTACTTGCGATTTTTTTTAAATTTGAGATGTAATTTTTATGCTATCTTAATTTTGAAGTATGTATATTTGTGCAAGAGTTGGTATTTTATGGAAATTTGTAGGCTGGAGAACATCAAAGAACTAGATTTTTTTTTATCAAAATAAACAAGCTTAAAGTCTTGTCGATTTTGAGTTTGAGATGAATTTCGAATGAAGTCGTAGATTTTTTGAGAGCAAATGTGACAATTATTGAAATTTTCTTTGAAAAATTGTTTCTAGAAAGTTATCAAATCTGAAATTCTTCAATTTATTCTCTTTAAGCAAAGTCAAGTCTAGTTCAAAAATCATTAAAAATATTTTTAATGTGAACATTTTGATTTAAAATAATTTTGGAGATTTCACAAACTTTTAAAAAAAAAATTGAACAAGTTTAAAGGATAAATAACATAAAATTTGACACTAGTTACCTAAAGGAGGACATTAAAACGTGGATCAACTCCTCTTGAACATTTTTTAAAAATCAAATTGTCACATTAAAATATTTTTAGGTATTTGAAATCATCCAGATATCGTCCTACGGCATGAGAAAGTATTTTAACAAAATTTCCAAGGGTTGGAAGCTTTAAAATATTTTTTCTTCAATTTTTGGATTATTTTAAATCAAAAAATTAAAATTGAAAGTTTTAAATTATCCTTCCCATGGATATTTGAACGATATTTGAATGATTTCGATGATTGAGAAATTTCCACAATTATCAACTCAGCTTTCATATTTTGTTACATCATTAAATTGAGAAGAAAATCCACAGAACTTGATGATAACAAAAATGAATTATTCTATGAAAATGAGAATATCTTTTAAAGTATGGAAAATGATATTAGATTTTATGTTTAAATATACCTTAAAATTATAAGAGAAGAATGATGTTGAAATTTACTTCAAAAAAGAGAGAAAAAGTGCAAAAAAATATTATGAACAAAATAAAGTTTACAAAAAAATAGATATTTACACTTATATTTAATGAGATTGCTACGGGAAAGTAGCACAAATGCATTTATATATGAAAAATAATTGAAGACAAAAAAAATAAAGCTTTTTCGTGATTGATAAACTTTCCTCATTGTTCATTGCATAAATATTATTACTTTCTTTCCAAGTTAATAAAAACATTTTGTTGACTCATTAATCTTTAGCAGCAAACATGAAACTTTTTTGGGATATTTTTTTTCTTTAAAATTAGAACAAGTTGAAAAATTTTTTATAAGGTTTTCAGGTTAAGACAGAATTTCTTCGTTTTTGCAATTAAATTACTCGAATTGCACAAATCGTTTAATCGATCAGAAATCTAGCACTAAACCTCTGTCATCGTGCTGAATTTACATTTATGTCAGCACCATGCCAAAATCATGCCTAATTGGTGCTGGATTTATATTCGATTAACAAACTTGTGCTATTCGGGGCTAGCTACTCCTTGTCATTTCTGGTGGTATGCAATCCTCGATTAACCTTAGTGATGACTTCAAAGCTTCCTAAATTTAAGCTGACTATCTCTTTGAGAAGGCATTCCATTTTTTTAATTTTTAAAAAAATCATTAGTTCAATTTTGCTCTAATTAATGTTAACTGACATTATGGATGTCCTTATTTTTGGAATGAGCATTTGGCAAACCTGAAAAGCATTTGGCAACCCTACTTAAGCTAAAATCAATCAATCGAACCTTAACATCATAAAGAATAACTAGACTTGATATTCGCTAAATGCATCAATGTGAATACTAGCTTGTCAGTAATGAAAGGTTGAGCTCATCCAAAACATGAGAAACTGAACTAAGATAATGCCTCAAATGACTTACATGCGCACGTTTTTATGCAAAAATTATAAAAGATTTACCAGATTTAGATCATTAAATGCCAAATTATCCCAGACACCCCGACAATTTCAAAAGTACAACTCCAACTTTCAATCCACAACTTCTCAAAAATGATTTCATCTCGCGTCAATGGCAGACGCACTCTTTTTATGAACTTTCCCTTTTCACTTCTCTCTTCTGTTGCGAAACAGCAGTCAAAAAGTTTATTAACCCACTCATCATCATCTGCATCATTATAAATATAATAAAAATATGTTCAGAACAAAAAAAAAAGATGAAAAACTTTTCTCTACATGTGTATGTAGATAGAAGCAGCTCGACAGAAAAAAAAAAGTTTTTCGATGCAGAATATGTGAAGCTTTCGATTTCAGAGAGGTGCGGAGATAGAGCAGATGCATGAAAATGTGTAGGACGAACTTTCAGTTTTTCATTAAAAAGGTAAAATTATTATTTTTAGATGAGTTGAGCTGTGTTGGGGACATTAAACTTTAAATATTTGAAAGTAATTAACATTTTTTAGAAAATTATTATGCACACAATTTTGATGGGTGGAAACTTACTGATTTTAAAGCTTGTTCTGAAAACTAATTATTATCATTTCAAAATTTATAATTTCTTTGCTTGTTCTTACTTCGATGACCTTACAGATTAATTGTGATCCATAGCCTCCCTCAGATGCCGCCTATAACTGGCTCTATCGCTGGCTACCGCTTGCCAATTTCCTAGACCAAATGTAATTTCATAATTTTACTAACATTAGCCAAAAAATGAATCTTTAAATCTCAATGCTCAAAATATTTTCAATCTTTATTAAAGTCGCATCCAAAAGTTCATAAATAAAACAAAACTTCTTCCTTTTCACTTCAAAAGTTCAATGAATCTCATTACGCTAGCAAAAAAAGGTTTAAGATCAACGACCGTTGTACGATTTTTCAATCACTTCTTAGGAAAAATCTAGTGCTTCATTAATTTTTTATGTTTTTTACGCACGAGTTTTACGAGTTTTCTTGGAAATGCAATAGCAGTCAGGACATTCAATTAAAAAGTCGTCCATAAAATGAGTCAGCATTCAACAAAACCTCAAAAGTCGCTTTGGATTTCGAGAAAATTAAATCGTAAAATCATGTGCTGAGCTATTAACTAGTGGGGTTGTTTACAATAAGGTCAACTCAACAATTTGATTTTTATCTGTTAAGCGATGAGATCTTCTGATACTTTAAACTAGAAAATTAGGAGTTTTTTGTCATTGGTTGGATTAGGGACCAAAGAACACCTGAATTGGATGCTTTGAGAAAGGCACTAGAGTTCTAATACCCGCTAGTTCGGGTCTCAAAGGATAAAGCTGTCTTTAGACGATTTCTGAATGTGGTAATGTGCCCACGTGCGTCCTGTCCAAAGTAGTAAATAAGTAATGTCGGGTTGGGGAGGGGAGTTCCCGAATTCTCAATTTTTGGATTGACCTTTTATTTTTTGTACCCTCAAAGTATTTCCCTGACGATACTCTATGCAATAGCCGCTTTAAAATTCAGAAAAGTCATATCTGACGTCATTTATCAACATTCCCCGTTCTCTATCCAGCATACATAATAAAAAGCAGTTGAAAATGAAATTATTGCGGTTTTGTGACAGTTGAACACTTTTTGTGCATTAAAAAGCCCCCGTTCTATTATACAGAACAATTATGTATGTTTTATGATATCATATAGCTAGGGTGACCATCTAATTTTTATGAAAATACAGGACATTTGATAAATTTCCCAAAAAATACAGGACACAAAGGAAAATTTGAAAATTAACGGAAATTTTCGTGAAAAAAATACAGGACCTGGAACAAAATTTTCAAATTTATACAGGACAGGGTTTTGAAATACAGGACTGTCCGTTGTAAAACTACGCAGATGGTCACCCTACATATAGCCCAATAATCACATCAATCAATGTGAATTTGAACAAATAATGAAATTTGACAAATAATAATGTGCATCTATTGCTTCCAGACATTTTCATCATATTTATACGGTATACAGGATTTATATATACACAAAATAATTATCATGATTGTTAATATTATGTATCTTT